TCGCTCTCTGGTGAGCTCACATGCCCTATAGCATAATTAAAATTAATTAATTAATTAAATTAAATAAATAATTCTTTTTTTTTGCAGGGGGTTGAAGTTTTTGCTATAGGGTGTGTGTGCTCACCATTAAGACAGAGAGACAGAAAGCGAGAAATCACCCCCCCACCCAGGGGATGGCCATGCCGCAATCCCTTCTCCTCCATTTTCCTCTTGGGATCTTGGGCATGCAGGTAGACGCGCCCGGTGTGAGTTTAAGCCACCGGGTCTGGGACTTGAACTGCGGTCTACTACACGGGAGTTCAGCAACATAGCCATTATACTAACTGCTGGTCCCCCTAAATAAATAATTCTTAAAAAAAAAAAAAAGGATAGACCTTCCAGTGGGACCAGCAGGTGGCATGGTAGTTAAGATGCTGGACTCCCACGTGGCTAACTGCAGTTCAAGTCCTGGACCTGGTGGCTTGAAGATCATACCAGGTACAGGTACATACATGCCCAAGATCCCAGGAGAAAAATGGAAAATAGAATGCACCATGGCCATCCCCCCTGGGGGTTGATTTCCTACTTTCCCTCTCACTGTCTTTCTCCAGCGAAGACAAGCATGCATTCTATGGCAAGAAAAACAAAAAACAAACAAACAAAAAACTCTTCATTTACTAAATCCCCACCTAGGACAGTGGTGTTTATACTGTGAACTGGGTATAGCTCTGAGCGTATCAAGGTGAGATATTTTTGCACCCCTCATGAATCTCTCTCATGATAGTCTGCTTCTTAATAATAGATCATCGCATGACATGTTTTTCTATGCAAAAACGAGTCATGACTTTCCCCCCAGGACCCAATAAGTTAGAGAAGTCTAGGAAAAACCTTTGCTGAAAACCACAATCATCACTCCAGCTTCTTAAAATGTGCACCTTTTGGGACCAGCAGATGGTGTATTGGTTACGTCACTGGACTCTCATGCAGTTGACCATGGTTTGAGTCCTGGACCTAGCAGCTTCAAACTCCCGCCAGGCGTGTGTGCATGTGTGCTCAAGATCCCTAGAAGAGAAGGGATTGTGGTGTGGCCATCCCCCCGGGGGGCGACTTCTAGCTTTATGTTTCTCTATCTCTCTCTGTCTTTCTGGCAAGTGTCTCTGGCGAGCACACACTCCCTATAGCAAAAATCTCTCTTAAAAAAAAAAAAAAACACATTATGTGTACCTTTCAAATCCATCCTACCCCAAAAAAGGAGCTAAGGGAAGGGATCTTTCTCCCAAATATCATTCCCAAGAGAAGATGAGATTGCATGTGTACATGTTCATGTATACTTGACTCACAAGGCAGATGGGGCAAGTGGTTCAATCTTAAAGTAGTCAAATGATTTAGAACTTTATATTCCCTCATTGTTCCAGATAGAAACCAAGCAACTGGTTTTAGGGATAGTATTGTATTTTAAGGAGAAATATTCTATAAATCTTTTATTTTTTTTTTCATTCTGAAGTAATTTCATTTTTGTTTTAATAGAGATTTTTGTTATAGAGCATGTGTGCCCACCAGAGAGACAGAAAGCAAGAAATCGCCCACTGGGGGGATGACCACACTGCAATCCCTTCTCCTCCAGTCTCTTCTCGGGATCTTAGGCACACATGCACACACGCCCAGCGTGAGTTTAAGCCACCGAGTCTAGGACTTGAACCATGATTGACTACATGGGAAGTCCAATGACATAGCCATTACACCAACTGCTGGTCCCAATCCCTTCTTCCCTATTTCTCCTCTTGAGATTTTGGGCACACACAGACATACTCCTGGCATGTTTTTCAAGTCACCAGGTCCAGACTCAAACCACAATTGACCATAGTTCCAGCTGCTTTAACTACCATGCCACTGGCTGGCCCAATAATTTCATTTTTATAACAAAGCTGCAAAAAGAGTACAAAAAATTTCTATGCACCTATCACTCGAGTTTCCCTATTTTGATGTCTGACATAACCACAGGGCAATTATAAAACTCAGTAAATTAACAGAGGAAGTTATTATTAAAGATAATAATTCTATTATTTGACCAATATAGACCTTACCCAAATTTCTCCAGCAGTCCTATTAATGTCTAATGATTTTTTTTTTTTTTTTTTGAGAGCTTTTTTCTTTTGGGCACGGGCACTTGCCAGAAAGCGAGAAATTAAATTACCCCCCAGGGGGGATGGCCACGCCATAATTCCTTCTCCTCCATTCTCCTCTCGAGATCCTGGGACGCACACACACATGCCCAGCGTGAGTTTAAACCATCGGGTCCGGGACTCGAACCACGGTCGGCTACACGGGAGTCCAGTGACATAGCCATTTCTCTGACTGCTGGTCCCAATAATTATTTTTTTAAGAGAGATTTTTGCTATAGAGTGTGTGCACTTGCCAGAGAGACAGATAAAGACAGAGACAGAAAGCAACAAATCACCCCTCAGTCAGGACATGCTGCAATCCCTACTCCTCCAATCTCCTCTCAGGACTGGGCACACATACACACGTGCACCAGCATGAATTTCTAAGCCACTGAGTCTGGGACTTGAACTGTGGTCAACTATGTGGGAGTCTAGCAACATAACCATTATGCCATCTCTTGATCTCAATGTCTACAAATTTTTAAATGAAAACTACTCAAGAGCTAGGAATAGCATTCAATTATTTATTTGTTTGAGACAGGGTGGTCTCAAACTTGTGATCTTCCCTCTCAGACTCCCAAGTAGCTGGCATTACAGGTGTATACCATCACACCCTGTGCCAGCATGTAATAATTTAGTCAAAATCACCACGTCTTAAGAATCAATGACTAAATTGCTAGCATGGAAAATAGCTCATATATTACCTGTCAACAAAGAAAAAAACCACAGGTTGGGACCAGCAGTTGGCATAATGGCTATGTCGCTGGACTCCCATGTAGTTGACTGCAGTTCAAGTCCTGGATCTGGTGGCTTAAACTCACGCCAACACACATGCGTGCGTGCTCAAGATCCCGAGAGGAGAATGGAGAAGGGATTGCAGCATGGCCATCCACACTGGGGGGGTGATTTCTCACTTTCTGTCTCTCTGTCTCTGTCTTTCTGGCAAGCGTACGTGCCCTATAGCAAAAGGCACTCCAAAAAAAACAAAAAAGAAAAAAACACAGGTAGCTTTAAACTTTCTATAGCTGAAGTGATAGGAACAAGAAAATCACCTGTCTCAAATTGTAAAAGCAAGTTTTCTTTTTTTAATTTTATTTCTGCATCTTATATTCAATGCATAGACTTAATTTGGTATTATCTTTAAACTACTATTGAACTTAAAATTATATTTTTTGCTATAGGGTGCGTGTGCTCACCAGAAAGACAGGGAGAGACAGAGAGACAGAAAGTGAGAAATCATCCCCCAGGGGGAAGGCCACACCACAATCCCTTCCTCCATTTTCCTCTCGGGATCTTGGGCATGTACACACACGTGCCTGGCGTGAGTTTAAGTCACCGGATCTGGGACTCAAACTGTGGGTGACTACATGGGAGTTCAGCGATATATCCATTACGCTAACTGCTGGTCCCCAAATTTAAAACTATTACTAAACTGGAAGTAAAGCCACTGGTATGTGCTTATAATTTAAGGACTTGTACAAATTAGAGATTAGAAAAGAGAGGCCAATAGGTGGCATGTGGGAATCTAGTACCTTGACCACCATGCCACTTCCTGGCCTTGAGCTGTTTTTGTCATCGTTGTTGTTGCTATTCTTCAATATAACCAGAGAGAGAGAGAGAAAGAGAGAATGAGAAAGCAAGCTGCCATGTCTAGGACTCAAACCCCATCAGTCTTTTGGGATTTTTGTGCCCAAAATCCCTGGAGGACAATAGAGGAGAAAGATTGCAGCATAGCCATGCCCCCTGGGGATGATTTTTACCCCCAGGGGGTGGTGATTTCTCAGTTTCCCTTTCTTTTTCCGGTGAGTGCACATGCCTTATGGCAAAACAAAACAAAACAAAAACACCTCTATGCATGTAAGTATGGCATCTGGACTCTAAACAATGGAGTATTAATTCTTTATCAACTTCACCTTATATGTTAAACAAATCAAGAGCTTTATAAGAGACTTACTGAAAAATCCAAAGTACAAGTTCTCGGGTAGCCAGGAAGACCTGGGCTAAAACGCCAAATAGTCTCCAGATGATTGAAAAGTTTCCCATCAGTACAAGATGCCTAGAACAAAACGAGTAAAATAAAAGCAGAGTTAAGTACCTTTGGCATTGGCCAGAATTTACCACGATTGAGACTCATTTCTTTGAAACAAATTGTTTTTTGGAGAGGTTTTTGCTATAGGGCACATGTGCTCACCAGAGACAGAGAGAGAAAGAGAGACAGAAAGCGAGAAATCATCCCCCCCGCATGGGGGGATGGCCACGCCGCAATCCCTTCTCTTCTATTCTTCTCTCAGGAGCTTGGGCACGCACGCACATGCGCCGGGCACGCACACACATGTGCCCGGCACGAGTTTAAGCTACCAGGGTGGGACTTGAACCGTGGTCAACTACATGGAAGCCCAGCGACAGCCATTATGCTAACTGCTGGTCCCCATTATTTTGTTCATTTTTTGTTGTTGCTGTTACTCAGACATGTTATCTGGTCTTACTAACAGCAGAAACTTGATATACTGGACCCAACAGGTGGTGTGGTGGTTAAGGCACTGGACTCCCACATGGTAGACCATGGTTGGATTCATGTACCTGATGGCTTGCTTTCTCACTTCCTTGCTTTCTTTCTCTCTGTCTCTCCCTATGAGCACACAAGTCCTATAGCAAAAGAAAATTAAAATATTAAATTTTTTTAAAATTTGATTTACTTATCACTGTGGTATTTGGTCATTGCTTTGGCATTACTTTATGGCACTTATATATTTCCATTCTTCAGTATAGGCCATAGTGAATGGTGAATTATGAGTCATACAGATTCTGTGCAGTTTCATGGGATGACCCTGTCCATAGTAGTAATTTCCAGTACTTCTAATACCACCATGAGAGTAACAGCAGACTTTCTTCTTGCTGCCTCCTTGACTATATGCCATGGGGTGCCCAGTTACTGCCACCTCTGGGCTCTAGCTCCTCTTCCTGCTTGGTAGGGGAGAAAAAAGGGCTGTGGTGGGGGAGTATGGGATGGCAGTCCTGCACAACGGACAGGTTCAAGGAAGGACAGGAGGCAGCACTGGGAGGACTTGGTACCCAGCTGAGGAGCAGAGAACACAGCAGACGGGGGATAGGAGTGTCATGAGGTGGCACCAATGCCACCTCATGACACTCCTGAAGACCATTTAAAAATTCCTGACTTAGAGCCAGACAACAGAGTGGTAAAATTTGGGTGTTGGATCTCAAAAGGCCAACTATATGTTCCAGTAGCTTAAAAGACATGGTGGGTACATAAAAGAAAGAATGGAGAAGGGACTGTGGCAGGGTCACTCCCTGTGAGAGGTGCTTTCTCACTTCCCCCAACCCAATGTACAGTAAGTGCACATGCCCTCTAGCGAATTTTAAAAAAGGGAAAAAATCTCACTTTTGTGGCCCAAGGAAGCTTTCTTATGGGTAGACAGTCCTCAACAGAAGGGAGGGGAGAGAAAAAGTTTTCCACGTCTATATTATACTTTCTACTTAAACTTCTATTTAGAAAGAATGCTAACACTGTATAAACTAACATAATTAGGGGATATAATACTGAGTTGATTAAGATAAAAATTTTAAGTTTTTTTCTAGAGAGTGTATGTGTGCACGCCAGAGAGAGAGGCAGAGAAAGTGAGAAGTCACCTCCCTCCTCCCAGGGGAATGGCCACATCACAATCCCCTCTCTTTCAGCCTTCCCTCTGAACTTTGGGCATGCATGCACACAGGCCTGGAGTGATCTTCAAGCCACCGAGTCCAAGACTCGAACCACACAGTTGGGCCATGTAGAATGCAGAGCCCCAACCTCAACACCACTTCCTGGCCTAAGAGAATTTTTTTTTAAGCTCTTACAATTTAACCCACTTGATACCATTAATAATTGGCAATATTTAAAAACAACAAAGCACAAAACTATTACCTTTACCAAATGTGGCTTCACCAAAGTTACTACTGATGTGTATCGCTCCAACACAGGTGGGAACCCAATTTCTAATCGTGTTTTACAGTATCCAGATCTCTTTGATATTACTTCTGATTTTTTGCACCAAGGAACGAAATGCTTGTAATCCTCCATTCCCGATACTACATCATACATTTCCTGCATTGAATAACTTTAAAAAAAAAAAAAGTGTTAATTGCATCTAGTTATATAATAGATACATATTTTAAGTTGAATATGTTAAAACTTACCGTGTATGAGGCAATAATCATTTGACACAAATATTGAACTATACTCTGGAATGAACAACTTCAAAGCAACACAGAAAATAAAAGACTAAATATGCAAATACCAATAAAGGTCATGATTTGGCAGTCCATAAGTTGGAGCTGGCTTACAGAAGTAGCTTGTAAAATTTTTTTAAAGTTTTTGTTCTTTTGAAAGAGACAGACACACACACTCAAACACACAAGTACCTGCCCACAGAATCTTTTCACACCATTATTCTCCTTGTAGCTTCCCTGACAGCGAAGGTCACAGGTGCATATGGGTGTACCCAGCATATTCAGGTTGACATAGATCTTAACCCAGACCTCCCATTTGGCTTTAGCATCTCATATCACTACCTTACCACCTAAGCCACTGTGCTAGGCTTCTTTTTTAAACTTTTAATTAGTTGCTGACATTTAAAAACAGAGTTTGGGACCAGCAAACCATGGCACAATGGTTATGTCACTGGATCCCTATCCCCAACATGGACAACATTGATTCGAGTTCTGGACCTGGTGGCTTGAAACTCACACTGGGCATTATGTGTGCATGTATGACCAAAATCCCAAGAGGAGAATGGAAGGAGAATGGTCATCCCCCCAGGAGGTGATTTCTTGGTTTCTATCTATCTCTCTGGCTAGTGCATGTACCCTATAGCAAAAATCTCTCAAAAAAACAAAACCAAAAAACTGAGAGTTTAAGAGCAGTCAAGTGCCGAGGTGGTGAAGGTAGCTAGAGTCCATGTGATACTCAAGAGAATGAAGATTTTAGATGGCAACACAATTTAAATATATGACCCAGTTGGGGCCAGCAAGGAGCCTGGTGGTTAAGACACTGGACTCCCTTGGGGCTGGCAGGTGGCATGGTGGTTAAGGTGCTAGACTCCCACATAGTCAACTGTGGTTTAAGTCCTAGACCTGGTGGCTTGAAAGACATGGCAGGCATGTGTGCATGCATGCCCAAAATCCTGAAAGAATAAGTAAAAAAAATAAAAAAAAAAAAAAAAAAAAAAAAAAGACACTGGACTCCCATATGGCTGGGCATGTGTGTGTACAAGCCTAAAATCTCAAAAGGAAAATGGAGAAGGGACTGTGGTGTGGCCATCTTCCCAGGGAATGATTTCTCACCATCCCCCCAGAGAATGCACATACCCTATAGCAAAAATACACATACATATACATATACATACATACATACATTAATACATACATGGCCCGGTCGGCTTCAAACATGCCAGGCATGCAACTGAATGTCCAAGTTCTGATAGGCTGAAGGACAGGAGAAAGGGATCACAGAGTGATCCTGTGGAGGAGCTCATCTCTCGCTCATCCTCTCATGTATACACAGGTATTCTACCATGAATAAAGAAAATAATCTTGACCCAGACACACAGCCTACTGGCTAAAGGCATTGGATCCCACATGGCCAACTGCATCCTGGCTGGATGGCTTGAAAAACAAATCAGGCATGTGTACATGTATGCCCAACATCCGAATACGATGAAAAAATGAAGGGATTGCGGTGTGACTATGCTCCATTAGCTGGTACTTTGTCCAGTTCACTCCCCTTGAACCCTGCCACTCTTTGCCAAGTGTGCATACCATCTTGGCAATAAAAAAAAAAAAATCTCGGGACCAACAGGTGGTGTAATGGTTAAGGCACTGGACTCCCACATGGGTGACTGCAGTTCAAGTCCTGGAACTAACAACTTGAAACACGCTGGGTACATGTGTGTGCATGTATGCATGCCCAAAATCCCGGGAGGAGGGTGGAGGAGGGCAGATGGCAGTGTGGCTACCCCCTCTTGGGGGGAGGGTGATTTCTCACTGTCTGTCTCTGTTTCTCCAGTGAGTGCATGTGCCCTTACTGCAAAAATCTCTCTAAAACAAAACAAACAAAAACAAACACAGGGCATCTGTGCACATGTGCCCAAAATCCCAAAAGGAGAAATGGAGAAGAGACGTGGCATGACCACCCCCCATGGGGTGCTTTTGCACTTTCCCTCTCCCTTTCTCATTGCTTCTCTCTAGCAAGCACAAGCACCCTCTAGCAAACATTTTTAAAGATTCAGACTGTTAAAATGATTCACCACAAAATCATATAGTCATTTAAATAATTACAATCTAAAGTTTTTAAATAATTAATTAATTAATTAATTATTACTCAATTTGACCAGAGAGACAGATTGAGTGACAGAGGGAGAGGGAAAGTGAGAAAGAGAGCTGTCAGATCTGGAACTTGAACTGCAGGTGACCATGTGGGAGTCCAGTGCTTTAACCACCATGCTACCTACTGTCCCCTAAATTTTTTTTTAAATAATTATTTATTATTGGATCATCAGGAAACTCATGACACACTTTTGCATAGAAAACCATAGAAAAATACATCACGACTCTCCCAACAGCCTAATAATTTTATTTATTATCATTATTCATCAATCCGACAGAGCGTTAGAGAGATAGCAAGTCACCGGGTCCAGGACTAAAATCATGGTCAGCCATATGGAAATCTAGCATCTTAACTACCATACCACCTGTTGGTCTCCAGAATCTAAATTTTAAAGGATTTTTTTTAAATAGGCGCCAGGTGGTGATACAGGAGTAATATAACTGGACTCACATGGGAAGGGTCCTGCGTTCATTTCCTGGGACCTCCCTGAGCACTTTAGACACGTACCCATAATCCAGGCTGGCTGAGGCTGGAGATGGATCATGAACACCTTGCTGAAGTAGCTGTCTCTGTCTCTTTCTCTTAAAAGTAAATAAAGTTTAAAAAAAAAAAAAGTATTTTTGAAATATAAGAGAGAGACCAGCAGATGGTGTAATGGTTATGTCACTGGACTCCCACCTAATCCACTGCAGTTCGAGTACCAGACCCAGGAGCTTAAAACTCATGCCAGACACATGTGCATGCATGCCCAAAATCCCAGAGGAGAAGGGACTGAGGCATGGCCATCCCCCTGGGGGGGTGATTTCTTGCTTCCTGTTTCTGTCTCTCTGTCTCTCCAGCAACCACATGTACCCTCTAGCCAAAAAACTCTAAGAAAAAGGAATACAATAAACTGAGTTCTTATACCTGCTTAAGTTTATCTTTATAATCATGAAATGAAGCCCTAATTGGGGTGAATGGTATGGAAAGTACCTATTCTCCCTAGGTTTTCAGACAAGGCTTAGCCACACTAGCATGTGATGTTAAGATACTGTGCAACATAGGCTGGGACCAAATGAGAAGGCACATGTTCTCCAACAAAATTAAAACAAAACAAAAAAAAAGAAGGAAAAAGAAAATTCAAGGCAGGCCTGAGTGGGTAACAAAGCAAGACCTTGTCACATTTCATTTTTTAAAGAATTATTTATTTATTTTTATCATCATTATTATTTCTATTATTTAATTTGTTACGGGGCATGTGCACCCACCAGAGAAAGAGGATTATTTATTCATTCATTTATTTAATTTTACCACAGAGAGACAGAAACAGAGAGGGGGAGGGGAAAGTGAGAAAGCAAGCCACTAGGTCCAGGACTCGAACCGCGGTCAGCCATGTAGGAATATCCAGCACCTTAACTACCACACCACCTGCTGGGCCCCCCACCCCTTTTTTATGTGCTATAGGCATGTGTACTTGCTGGAGAGACAGGGGTGGGGTGAGTGGTAGGGTTGGGGTGGGTGTATGTGGTCACACCTCAATCCCTTCTCCTCTATTCTCCTCTGGATTTTGGGTACAAACACACATGTATCCAGTGTGCTTCTCGAGCTAGATCTAGGACTTGAACTGCACCACGGACCACATGGGGTCTAGTCATCTTCACCACCATGCCACCAGCTGGCCCCTGAGAACCTGTCTTAAACAACAAAACAAGGATCAGCAAGTGGCTTGGTGGTTAAGGCACTATACTCCCACATGGCTGACCATGGTTCACAATTCCAGCAGCTTGAAACTCATGCTGGGCGCTTGTGCATGTGTGCCCAAAATCCCAGGAGAATGGAGGAGAAGGGATCATAACGTGGCCATCCTCCCAGGCAGTGATTTCTTACTCTCTCTCCATCTCACCAGTGAGCACACATGCCCTATAGCAAAAAACTCTCCAAAACAAAACAAAAAACTAAACTGGATTTGGTGGTCTTCCCAGCTGAGGAAGGAGGAAGGTGATATGACCTAATAAATTTAGTATCTGGTCACTTACAGAAGAATTTTATCAACCTCCACTCTAGACTACGAGGCTTAATATGTATACACTTATCCATGTATGTATGTATGTATGTATGTATGTATGTATGTATGCAAAGGAGCTATATAAACATATGGCCCAATAAATAGATCAGTAGTGCTGTTGATATAGAAAAGAATAAAAGCTACCATATAATTACAGTCATTCAACAAATATTTATAGGACTGGTCCCATAGCTAAGTGGTTAAGGGAGCCACACCTCACATGGCTGATTACACTTTAATCCCTGGCCCTGGAGGCTTGAAAAACACACCAGGCATGTGTGCATGTTCACCCAAAGATTCCCAAAGGATGGAGAAATGGAGGGGACTGCAGTGTGACCATGCATTGTCTGGGGGTGCTTTCTCCCTCTCCCTGTCTCTCTGGTAAGTGCATGTATCTTTTGGCTTATAAACAAAACAAATATTTATAAAACAGTAAGAGCAATGGAAAGGCCAACCTATAAAAACCTGAGTTTAGTTTACAAGAAGATAAACCAGAAAAAGGCATGAGATTCCACAGAAAATTGTGATGTGCTCTTTTAGTAGAATTATTATTATATACAAACCCTATAATTCTCCTCTCTGAATATTCTTTCCTTTTGTTTATTAATGGTGCAGCAATTTTGAAGAAAGTTCTTGCATATATCTCCTTAGGCAAAATTGAGGTATATAGTGGAAGAGTTCTGCTCATGAGTATACCACAGGAAGCTAAATACCTAAAAAGACAAACATTACCTGTTTTAGAGTGACAGTGAAAGTTAAGAGGAAGCACAAATTATAGAGATTGGTAAATAACTATCACATTTTAGGCAGCTTTGCAACTTCAGAATATTCTTGAAAAAATACACACACACATATAAAAGCACAAAGAAAAAAATAATAAAGCTTCTTAAGCATGGTTAAAAAAAAAAAACAAAACTAAAAATAATGGCTTACAAGTTAGGTTAGAAGCTTCTGGCACAAAAGGTATCTCTCCCAGAAAGTTGGCTTTTAGTCTGTAGTCATGTGTTAACAACACTCTTGCCATAAGCTTGCTAAACTAGTCATCATCTATTTTTCAAGTCATTTTACCTACCCAGGTTTTCCCAGCTGGATCCACAGTGGTTCCTTATTCTTGATCCATTCCAGTAAGACTTGAAAATAGGTCTCATTCTTAGATAAGAGATCTCATGTCCCTGTCAGAATTGTTGCTCTGTTCTCTTTTACCTGCCAATCTCCATTTTAACACAATATATAAAAATATGTCTAGTAATAAGAATGTTTCAGATACTTCTATGCCTGACATACTCTTGTTAATTCAAATATTTTTTAATCTTTCCC